TTGTGCAGTGGTCTATTCTAGGTTCATTAGATTTCCCCGAAACGAATCTAACCCACTGGTTGCACCGTGACAGCCATCAACTCCTCAGCGGGGCAGTATGGACTGGGAATTGTTCAAGGAGAGAAGGGTCCAGGGTTCATTCCTGACTCCACATACTCATATTGGTAGCGTTATTATGCAATAAGCTCAAGTCGTTGGAGTTCTCTATTTCCATTATTATTATTATTATTATTATTATTATTATTATTATAGAAGACAATCTACATAATGAGGAGCTTCATGACTTGTACTCTTCTCCAAATAGAATTATCAAGTCAAGGAGCATGAGATGGCAGGGTATGTAGCACGAATGGGGCCGAAAAGGAATTCATGTAGGATATTGGTGGGAAAGCCGGAAGAAAAGAGACCACTAGGAAGACCAAGACATGGGTGGGTGGACAATATTAACATGGATCTTAGAGAGATAGTATGGGATTGGATCGATTTGTGGCTCAGCATAGAGACTAGTGGAGAGCTCTTGTGGACACGGTAATGAACCTTCGGGTTCCACAAAAAGTTGCGAAATTATTGAGTAACTGCACAATTGACTTCTGAAGAATGGCTCAGCTCTGTGAAGTTTGTTATACATTATCTACAGTCATACATACGTGTATATTGGTTTGAAGTTGGTTTGCATGGTGATAGTTCCTTTTGTAACTAGCCCTAGGTCGGGTCCCTACGTGCATCTGTCTGAGCGCCGGTATTACGTCAGAGGCTCGCTTGCTAGAAAGGCTGAGAAGGCGATAGAAGCTAGGCGCCGGTGCGCTGCTGCCATGGCTCTGAAGGGTCCCGTTGTCGATTCCTGGTACCGTTGAACAGTATAAGCACGGCGTCTGCTGAGCTGTACTGCTACTAGAAGTGCCGGGGTGGCTAGTGACATAGCCTCCCATGGCAACTGGTAAAATTGTTCTGTCGAATGATCACTCACTCCCCGAACTAGGGGTCACGTAATGGTGAACTTCTGCTAGTCAGCATTCCTTCTCTTGCCATAGTTTTGCTACCTGTGTTGCAGCTTTTCCCACAGTCTTGCCCGCCGTTAGGCAAACCTGCTCTACATTACTACTAATTCCAGGTTGCACCATTGCATATTTTGAGGCCTCAGGGTTCAAATCTACCGCCGTTGTAAACTTAAGGGCGTGACAGTGTTCATAACAGTTTTATTAACAACAATTTTTTAGCCCACTTTCCTCATTTTGTAAAAATGAACATAGGCTTATGAGATCATCATGCTGTCTGTGTGTTTGTGTGTGCCCCCTATTAACTTCTGACTGCCTGAATCAGTCTTTGTATGTATATGATGGCACCTAAGCCCATCTCAACGGCTTACTTCATAAATCCATCCCTTCAGTCCGTATGTGTATCCCCATATCGCTGCTAGGCAACGGCTTAGTAAAAACATTACCAGGGCAACGAATACGCAAGCAACAACAGAAGAATTGATGCACACATTATTTACTATGCGGCCCATGCCGTATGAAAGGAAAGTAGACTATTAGTTCTTCCCAGAACTTCTTTTTTATTTTGTGTAGATCGAACGTATTCAGTTGCAGTCTAATATCGTCCATTACCGTCTGGTATATTCTTCGACAGCCTGCTACAGGTCGCGGAAACCTCATTTCAGCAATTTCAGTTTGTTCCAATTTCCTTTCAGTGTACTATAATTTCTGCTTTTGTAACGTGTTTATTCTTGCTGGTTGCCCTTCTTTTATTTTAGACAGGAAAGGTTAAAAGCCACATTTTCCTATCCCTGTTGGCCGCTGGTAGTTGCAGCCACGACGGAGCCAGTTAATGGAGAAGGAACGTTACTCATTCCCACCTTAGGTCGGAAGAGAAAGGCAGAAAATTGATCCCTCGCTTTATAAATTATGGTCAATTCACACGTAACCTTTGTTTTAGGTTGTGTGAATTTAGAGCAGAACTTGTGGGTTGTCCCTCTAAAGAATGAACTATTGTTTTACGTCATTAGCGTTAAACATCTGGTAGAATAATGTTTCTAAGCGCTTGTACATATATACACTTCACAAAAGCTGCGTTACTCATTCTCTCTCCACACCCCCACACACACACACACACACACACACACACACACACACACACACTTAACTTCTTCACAGCAACACAAAAACTAACTTTGTCTGGACCGTACTGGACGTTCACTGACAGGGCAATGCTGGGAAAACTCTTCGTTTTGCGAGTAGGACATGGGAAATCTGTAAAGGAAACCCAGGTTCCTCATCAACCACAAGGATTACGTTCCTGAAACACGTCACGGTTGTCAATCAGAAACTGGGAATTAGGAGAGCCGCGGCCGCTGTTAACACTAATCAGAACCTAGCCGAATTACCGGCCCCTTCACTAAACAAAAAGTGCCTTACGCAATCGTGTGTTTAGAAACAAACTAGACCTGAGCGGCAAGAAGCGCACGGCAGCGGTAATCAGGAAGCTAGCTAACGCCCTTCGCATGCCATTGCAAACCTGCCCCCAGGGATTTCTTCTTCTGGACGCCACCGATCTGTTTCCATATGTGGGCCCGCACAAATAAACACCATGCATACACAAAACCTGATGCCGCGTTTGGCGAAACTGGACGCATGGAAAACCGAAGATGGTTCAAGACGTATTTGCCAAAAGATTACTGTACATATTTTTTTTAAATTAAAATTAAAATTCTCCTCCAAGGGAGTAAACTGTGAATAAATTGCTTTCACCGCCATCTTGAGATCGTAAGCAAAATACAGCCCATTGCGAGGGGAACGTAACGGAAATATTGAGTTCATGCGAATTGCGCGATTGGAAACAACTGACTGTAACACCACAGTCTACCGTTAACTCCTTAAACCTCATCAGTAGCCATATATATCACCCTTTTAATATTGTGACATGACGGCTGAAAGCCGGAATGGTGGAGCTGGAGTAGGCTTCCATTGCTGAGCAACGGCTCGGTAATCATGTTTCCGTTACAACGAATATTAACAAAGACTACAGTCAACAGAACAGTCAACAGAAGAACAGAGGAAAACTGTTCAACACGGTGACTTCTATTCGGGCCGCGTGGCGGTGCATTCGTGAATTCTGGAGATTCAGATTCAGATGAGCGAGAGACAGAGACAGGAGTCAGAGATTCATTCTTAAGAGAATTCAGAAGGCAGTCCAGTAGTCGAAGTATTAACGAAATAAAATTCTTTACCAAGCAACGACTAGCAAGCAGACGTTGAACACTTAAATTTGTGTGATATACCGCATTTACAGTAATCTTGTAGTTACTACTTTTGAGTGTCCCATAAATCTATTTATCTAATCCAGAACCCATTATTATTAGTCACGCTAGCCAGGAACACGTGACAGTATTAACATATCTTACTGTTGCCCACAAAGTTAATTTATGAATTTATTCTCAGAGTAAACACAGATGATTTCCTTATGCAGCGTTAATCGCTTGATATTTGTAATGGAGACGTCATGTGTTTTCTGAGAGATAGGAACTTAATTTGTGAATATTATTTAGACGAACGTACTGCTTCAAAGAGTTAACGGTGAATGACCCTGTAATGATTAGCTTGACATAACGCAGCGTTTAGTAGAATTTGAATTAAGCACGAATAGGAATCAGTAATTCTTCCCTGGCTGTGGGAACTACGCGTACGTGCAACTTGAGGATTTAATGCCAGCTGGGTAGGATGGGACAGAGCTGAAAGCTCACTGTTTCTTATTGGGTTCTTCTTTGGTTTACACTTCGACCCTGAAGATGGGAACGGTTTGGTTCTCCCAAACGTCGACGGACTTCTACCGGACTGCACGGCGTTACGTTCCAGTCGCCGCTGTGAGAACAGATCTCAGTAAGCTTGCTTTAGAACTGGCGTAAACGGACATCTGCCATCGCCCTTGGATATTTCTATGTCGAACCCCTACCCGCTTATAAGTTGGTAACCTTGCACTTACTATTGGAAATCTATACGTCAGTGCCCATTTAAACGCAATCATACTGAATATAGGGGGCACGCGGTAGCGTAGTTGGTTGAGTAACTATGCTACAAGCCGGAAGGTCGCGGCTTCGAGTCCCCAATGAGGTGGATTTTTTCAGTTTACCTAATCCTTTCAGCCGCACTATTGTCCTGGGGTCGACTCAGCCTCTAACAGAAATGGGGTAATGGGCGGCCAGCGCGTAAGGGTGACAATCTTACCGCCATCTGTGAGCCTATTATTAAGAGAAAATGTGGGAGCCCCGACGTCTCACAACCCTATAGGCCTTCACGATCTGTTACGGGGATAGCTTTACCTTAGTTTTTTTTACCATATTGAATACCTGTGTCTGGTGAGCTAATGTAGACCTTATAACGCCCGAATACTTATTATAATTAGGCCATATCATTCATTAAACGATAAAATACCTACACTTAAGATTTTATATACCCCCAACTTCTAATGTAAATGGATGCATCACCGTCTGTATGTATGTATGTATGTCTTTTTATGAAAGACCTATAATGTGTGGTATATGTCTGGAGCTGCTAAAATTAATTTATTCTGGAAATCCAAGCCCGAAGGCAACAGATTGGAGGTCAGTATTAGAATGAATATTTACGATTATAGAACGTGAATACATAGAAATAATTCACTTGTCTCAGGATAGGGACCAGTGATGGGCTCTTATGAACACGGCAGTGAATCCTCTGACGAAGATTAAGTTCTCAAGACTAGCAGTGCTTCATGGAGTTACTTAAATACGAATATATTAACATATGAAGCATTAAATATACTTATCAACTGATTCAAGGCGCACTCCCTTGAATATTCCAGGTAGTGCATTAATTTCTTGTAATCTCATACAAATGAGGTGATAAATAAATAGCTCCAGGCACTTGCCATGCATATACAAAAGACATTGGCGTGTACCAGTTGACAGAGTGCTTTATACAGGTACCAGAAAGAGGCGTGTGAGTGCATTTTATTGTCTTGGACAGTACGAGCTGCGCCTGGCGGCCTCTGACAACCTGAAGGAGAACTACACCACAGTGGTGATCCATGTGAAGGATGTGAACGACAACCCACCCGTGTTTGAGCGACCCACCTACCGCACGCAGATCACCGAGGAGGATGACCGCAACCTGCCCAAGCGCGTGCTGCAGGTCGCTTCTTCGTTGGATGCATGATTCAGTTCTCATTGTACGAACCCAGTACTGGGGGACAGCAGCTACTTTTCGCACTTTGAAATCCCATACGTTTTTTATTTGGAAAATATGCCCCATTAATTTGCAGTATTGAAAAGTACAGGTAAAAGAAAAGTTTTTTTTCCTATGGTCGCCATTTATGTACGACTGAGCAGAAGCATGTCTGTATACATTCTTAACCTGTGTTACTTTATGTGCGACCTGTTTTAACATTACAAAATTAATTTTGCCTACGGAGTATTTTTTTTTTTTTTGTATTTCGATTCATTCTCAGAATAAGCAGTAATTATACCATTATACCAGCGCTAGAGAACTACCCATTGCTGTCAACAGGGAATAGAAAATATTGACACGGCAGTTATCCCGTACTAAAAATAAAACGATACGCTACAAATGGGAACAGGAATATTCTGACGAAAGAGGAGAGTCATCGGATTGTTATAATAAGCGGGGATTTAGCTTTTACAGCGGCCTCCGTAATCTAGGGGTAACGTTCCCACCTCATGACTCAAGGTACCCGGGTTTGAACCCGGTGGAGGTCGTGGAATTTTTAAGGGCGGAAAAATTCAGGGAACAAGTCCTCCGGAAGGGACTTTAAGCCGTGGGTCCCATGTCGTAGATTTACGGCACGTAAACGATCCTCATGTCTCTAGGAGACCTCTGAGCAAAATTGGGCAAAAAGTGTCCCGCCCAAGCAGTTTCCAATGCCTCTGGTAGATGGGGGAAGTATCAGGTACCGAGGGCCGACCTCGTTAGCTGAACGGGGCTGATAGCACTCACCAGTATTGGTAGGGTATGGCNAATCTGTGTTTGTGCTGTCCTGTGTTTAGGTAGAGGCCTTGCGACGAGCTGGTCACTCGTCCAAGGTGTCCTACCGTCTGTAAAATGATAATGAAACTGAAAAATCAGAGGCCAGGGCCCAAGGGGACTGTATAGCCAATGAAAGAACTATAACTTAAAAGTACAGCCTCGCTAATTAAAGAAGTGTCTAAAGCGAGTCTGCCTTAATTGTTTCTGTGCATTGCAGTAATGAAACGTTGTCATGCCCGAAGCAATAATAGTGAGGAAGATGTCAGTCAAGTTCTTAACGGGAAAGTTAAAATATTATTAGATATACATTCTGAACACTGCCATAATGAAGAAAGACATTTACCTGTGGAGTGTGAAGTCATATCAGATATATTCGTATTTATTTCCTAGTGTATCGCTGTGATTGACGAATCACAATCAACCGTTGCTTTGTTGCTGAACGCGGTTGAAATTAACGGGAGCCATATAGGGATAAAATTTACTGTAACATGTCATAATGTTCATGGAGATGGGTACTCCTGCTGTCACACAGGTCGCAATGCCAGCTTCCGTCTGTGATTCAGACGAACTCCCTTAATACACTCTGTAGGTAAAATGGAAATTTTATAATGTTAAAGCAGGTTGCCGCTCTGCGCTATATGAAGACGCTACAGCCGTTATACCCCAGGGGATAGAGCTCCAGGTATCCAGTGGCTAGAAGACGGGGGAAAGGGGCAGACCAGGACGCGGTTACGAAAAAGAAATCCTGTCCCGCCGGAAATCGAATCCCGGTCGTCCAAGAGATAACCGGTCGTTATCCTGGCTTCTTGGTCTCGACTTGTGCGTAAATCCATATTAGATGAAAGACTAATTGCGAGTCCAAGGTACTGAGCGTACATAATGCTTATATAAATACACAGGAACTGCGATACCTCAGGATATACGTGTAAAGTGGCCACGGTTTTCACATCCTGGATTCTGTTTCCGGTAGGAACGGAGAGTAACTCTGGTTTTACATTGTGCTGCTCGCACCGGCGTTTTGTCTTCACTGAATATCCTGGGAAGAAGCGGCTGGAACGCGTAGTGCCGACGTTAAGAATGGCTGTAGGTTTACCACCGCTCTTTCATGCGCCTTCATGGCGTAATGACTTACTTTTATTAAATGTACCGTAAAAGTCTGCCATTCAAAATTACTCACATGTGGGCCATGAAGCCCAAAATAGTTTCTGTACATTCTGAGCAAACTTCCACGGTTAGATAAGTAATATTCTTCGTTCCTGTAATAGTTGATTGGAAATCATTGCTTTTACTATATATCTTTATTTTGTGGGTTTCATTTAAATAAAATACAATGTACACATGATGTCTCCCACGAACCAGCTCGTACAATGAACTGTAATTTATGTTTTGTTTCTAATTGATGTGTGGAAACTGCATGGTCCATGGGCAATAGCAAATAGCTGGATTGAAAACTGTATAAACTGTGCAGCCTACCATGAATCACGCAGTATAGAGGTCATGCTTTTATTGATTTGCATTCCTTGGACGTTGCAGTTTGAATGTTACTGTTGTAGCACGATCCCAGCATCTGATTAACTCATTTGTAATTGCACAGCATGTCTTGCACGTTTGCATTGCATCTCGTTTTTTTTCTTTTTGTTTTCATGTTTTGCTTGTTAGTACGAGTTAACACTGGTAGCATCTGACAGCTTGAATGAGAATCAGACAACGGTAGTGATCCATGTAAACGACGTGAACGACCTCCCGCCAGTGTTCAACTCAACTTTATACACTGGAGTGATGGAGGAAGAATTCGCAGGCCCTCACCCCTACCGACTGCTGCAGGTACAGTGAATACACGTGGTAGTGTAGTGCCATCCAGAGCATCTGAGAATTATACGCTCTCTCATCAAGAATGTAATTCTTTGTCCGGTGTGGAACTTATGACGATGAAATTTAAACAGACACATTTGAAAACTTTTAGCCTCTTGATTTACTACAATGATTACATAAAAACTAAAAGCATATTTATTATAAACCTAACGAACAAAGCAGTATGTAAGATTTGAGGTTCATGGTTTATGCTGACCGTCTTACAGTGTATACACTTTTTCACCTTATTCTTCACTTCCACACTACATGTTTCAGCACTAATGTGCCATCTTCAGGTGTCTTTATGCACGTTAAACTATTGTACTGCATGCCATAATGTCTTCATTCTAAAATGACTAAAATCTGTATTCGTCATATAGGACGATGAATTCTAAATAATAAAACTTTTCAGGATTCTTCCTACGTCGCACTCAAACACGCGAATTATGCCAATCCTCTTTTATGTAAGCATTCTTCCTACATATATTTGTGTATCGTGTTCTGTGTTGTGTTTTGCTCCTGTTACTGCATGCGTTGTACTGCTGGAAGTGAAGAATAAGGTGAAAAAGTGTATACACTGTAAGACGGTCAGCATAAACCATGGACATGAATCAGTGTAGCAGGACACTAAAATATAACATTAACAAGATTTGAGGTTTTCACGGCGGTGACTATGACGAATGCTATCTTCTGGGATGTGGCGCCGTGTAGATCTTCTGTGAACCGATGTTTCCGAAGAACGTATCGCCCCCATCTTCAGGATAGAGAAATTCGCGAGCGAGGAACCAGCGTGAGCATGTGGCTGCAGACTGAGTCACAAGTCGTAAACATCCCCAGGGCTGAGTGTTTTCGACTGGTGACTCAGTCTGCAGCTACCTGCTCATGCTGTTTCCTCGCTCGCAGATTTTTCTATCCTGAAGATGGAGGCGATACGTTCCTCCAAAACGTCGGCACACAGAAGATCTACACGGCGCCACATCCCAGAAGACGGCATTCTTCGAACAAAGCAGTAGTTAAATATATCATATTCTTCTATGTAATTGTATTGATTTTCAGCGCATGTGGTCCGGCGCGCCACATCTTTCTGATCCCATAGGTTTGGTCTTAAAGTCACTGTACGCCACTTTTGCTTCGTCATGAACACGTAAGAAGTAGATGGGATCTCCTTTCGCCTCCATAACCTCAACGCATGTCTCGCCCACAATGCCCATCCGCTCACTTTCCAAGTCTCCAGACTTTCCTCTGGCTTATGCAGTTGTCACATGGAACTGTGATTATTCCATAAATTTCACTGGTTTCATACCTCCTCACCGTAGAAACCAGATAACACATCGTAGTACCAACATCACTTTTGAGATAATGTAATATTGTCAATAATTGTTTACTTTTTTCTTCGTATAATTTTTATCGACAGTTGTAAATTAGCTGCCATCGGCTCTATAACCAGCGCGTCTGTCCACATCTCATACCAACTGCCTGAGTAGCTCAGTTCATATCTGTCATCCGCTGTCGGTTTATCTAGTGCACTGGACTTACATGCAAAGGATCTCCTTTCACCATGAAGTTTAATGTAAAATTGGAATGCAGAGAATACGTTCATACATACTCCGTTAAATTGCAATGGTTACACTTATTATATTCCAACAAAGGGCGGGGAGGGGGGGGTTGTGAGAGAGCTGAGCGTGGCAGCGTGTTCTGAGGAATGGCTAATTCCACTTTCCTCCTCATAACCATTCGCCCCAGTTGGAATATAAACCTACAGTCACTTTTTTTCGGATATGTAATTGAGATGAAGACCGCCTCTGTGGTCTAGTGGTCAGAGTTCCTGGTTACAGATCCAAAGGTCCGGGTTCGATTCCCGGTGCTACCAGGTTTTCTGAGAAATAGTGGATCTGGAACGGGGTCCATTCAGCCTCGTGAGGATAATTGAGAAGCTATTTCAAGGAAATAGGGGCTCCAGTCTAGAAAACCGAAATTAACGGCCGTGGGGATTCGTTGCGCCGCCCACGCGACGCCCTCTATCCGCAAATTTGGCACTAAATTCGCCGACAAGCAGCGGTCACTCGGTCGATATAGTTCGCTTGCGGACTAAAACCACGGATTTTTTTTATTTTTTTGTAATTGAGATGAAAGAGTAAAGGTTTTGAATTTCTATTCCGGACAGTCCGTCCCTAGGAGAAGTGTCCTTTCTCAGAGAAAAAGCTCCGTAGTGTTGCAGTTGGGTTTCTTGGAACCCTTTCCTTGCAAGATTTTGGCAACGTAATTTCTTATTCTATGTACACTTTTTTATGACGGTT